GGTGTACTGTTTTCCCTCCTTGTAAATCTCACATTTGATGATGGACCACAGGTTCTCAATGGGGTTCAGATCAGGTGAACAAGGAGGCCATGTCATTAGATTTTCTTCTTTTATACCCTTTCTTGCCAGCCACGCTGTGGAGTACTTGGACGCGTGTGATGGAGCATTGTCCTGCATGAAAATCATGTTTTCTTGAAGGATGCAGACTTCTTCCTGTACCACTGCTTGAAGAAGGTGTCTTCCAGGAACTGGCAGTAGGACTGGGAGTTGAGCTTGACTCCATCCTCAACCCGAAAAGGCCCCACAAGCTCATCTTTGATGATACCAGCCCAAACCAGTACTCCACCTCCACCTTGCTGGCGTCTGAGTCGGACTGGAGCTCTCTGCCCTTTACCAATCCAGCCACGGGCCCATCCATCTGGCCCATCAAGACTCACTCTCATTTCATCAGTCCATAAAACCTTAGAAAAATCAGTCTTGAGATATTTCTTGGCCCAGTCTTGACGTTTCAGCTTGTGTGTCTTGTTCAGTGGTGGTCGTCTTTCAGCCTTTCTTACCTTGGCCATGTCTCTGAGTATTGCACACCTTGTGCTTTTGGGCACTCCAGTGATGTTGCAGCTCTGAAATATGGCCAAACTGGTGGCAAGTGGCATCGTGGCAGCTGCACGCTTGACTTTTCTCAGTTCATGGGCAGTTATTTTGCGCCTTGGTTTTTCCACACGCTTCTTGCGACCCTGTTGACTATTTTGAATGAAACGCTTGATTGTTCGATGATCACGCTTCAGAAGCTTTGCAATTTTAAGAGTGCTGCATCCCTCTGCAAGATATCTCACTATTTTTGACTTTTCTGAGCCTGTCAAGTCCTTCTTTTGACCCATTTTGCCAAAGGAAAGGAAGTTGCCTAATAATTATGCACACCTGATATAGGGTGTTGATGTCATTAGACCACACCCCTTCTCATTACAGAGATGCATATCACCTAATATGCTTAATTGGTAGTAGGCTTTCGAGCCTATACAGCTTGGAGTAAGACAACATGCATAAAGAGGATGATGTGGTCAAAATACTAATTTGCCTAATAATTCTGCACTCCCTGTACATACCCATTACATATTCCCCAGCATCTCCTGGGCTGGGATGTTCTATATTAAAAGTAAGCTTCATTGGGGTTGACCCTGCAGGTTTACTCAGGGTCATTCTATATAACAAGGACTTCCCGTCAACTCTGTCTAAAGCACATTGGGGCTTATAGCCCCAAGGTCTACCAGTATTCCAACCGGCTGCTTTCCAGGAACTACAATGATGTCCCCAATGGTCTCCAGTTACACAGATATATGGGTCCTTCTTTGTATATGGCAGAGTGTTGTGTTTGTGGGAAAGTACAAGAAACAATATCACAATAATCAAAAGTAAATGTAGCCACATGTGTGTTTGAGGAATTGTACCAGAACGTGTAAACATGGTTGTCTTTAGTTATAGCAACTTGTTGGGCCTCTATCAGGCCTAGCAGCAAAAGGAAACACAGGAAGCTCATAATTCTGCAGGGGTGGCTTCCTCTTGAGCAGGCGCTTTCTTGCAATGTGAAGCGTGTATCCAGGAACTCTACTGAAGTGGCTGTGATTAGTAACACTTGATAAGAACCATCAAATCTTGGTTCGAGAGTATGTTTCCTGAGGAATTTCTTGACCATAACCCAGTCACCAGGGAGCAACTTGTGAGTACCTGTATTCGACTCAGGATCTGGAATAGAAGAAAATACTTGGGCATGGATTTTGGTCAAGGCATGAGAAAGAGCAGTTACATAGTCTACCATAGCATCTGACTGGATCTGAAGCTGTTAGGGGAAAATAACAAGTAAAAACAAAGGAAGGCTGCACCAAGAGAGGTAAATAAAGTTACACAAATAAAATGATATGTGATTTAAAAAAAAAAAATTGTATATGATTTAAAAAAGATAAATATAATATAAAATATTTATAGAAAGTCCCAATATATATCCTTAGTTGTTGTCTCAACTGGTGTAATGTCTTCTCTGTTGGGAGTAGTCCATCTCACGATATGAAAGACACAATGGGAAAAGAACAATCGTGCAGAGTGTATAAATAAATATTCGTGAAATTAAAATATAAATTCCACACTCATATTTCCATGAGCTAAGGCCAGCTCTAGTGTAACGGGCATACAGCGGATAACCCTCCGCTTGCAGGGGTGCTTGTCCTCCTGGAGAGTGCTGGTGTCCATTTCTCAAAGGAAAAGAGATAAAAACAGCCAATAGTGCTCTCTGGTGACGTAATATAGAAATAAGTTGAAGTAAAATAAAATGTACTCACAAGGGGAGTGCAGGCCTGTCTGCACTCTGATGATAGCGTGGGTGGTATAATCCCCACCTTGGGATATGTAAAATGCCAGGAATAAAATAAATAGAAATAAAATTGTATAGAGGAGTAATAATACAAAATTATTTATTAATAATACAATATATTAAAACCAATAACGCGTTTCGCCACAATGGCTTTATCAAATTGGAATGATATTAATAACCTGGCACATAAGGAGTATATATAGCTGGCACAATATTAATAACCTGGAATGATATTGGAATAACAACCTAACCTTGGTGCTGTAACGAACAAAATCTCGTAGGGGGATAGGCTGAACTTCCCTCTAGGGGTATCTCGTACGCTGAACAGTGCTAGGGGAAGACTCTCTGGCCAAGGCATATTGGTCTCCTGGGACATTTTAAGCATTCTGGCTTTCAACGTGCCATTCATGCGTTCTACCTTACTGCTACTCTGTGAGTGATAAGGTGTGTGGAAGGCAAGGATCACCCCCAGTGCTGCCCAGACTTCCTGTGTCAACAGAGCAGTAAAGGAAGTGCCTTGGTCACTTTCAATCACCTCTGGAACTCCGTATCGGCAGACAATTTCTGTAAGGAGGTGTTTTGCTGTGGTCTTTGCAGTAAGATTGGCGACTGGGAAGGCTTCTGGCCATCCTGAGAACATGTCCACAATGCATACTCATATCGACCGCTCTTCGGCATCTGGATATGATCAATCTGTATCCTCTGGATACTTTGGTTTGGCCAGGTGATTAGGAGCAGCTTTGATAATCTTCCCGGGGTTACATTTGGCACAAATCGTACAGGATCTGCAATAGTTCTGTGTCAGAGTAGTAATGCCTGGTGCTTCAAAGTATTTATCGATTAGAGAGTTCATCAGATGTTTAGACAAGTGGGCTGGTCCATGGGCCCACTGGACAACAGCTGGGTACATATTCTTGGGTAAGCAGAACTTGAAGTTGATAGTATAGACATCATTTTGAAGGATTGCCCCTCTGTTCTTCCAACTTTGTTTTTCTTGAGGGGTTGCTGCGGAGATCAGGAGACTTGGTGAAGGAGACATGTGGGACAGCCACCTCCTAGTGGTGGTAGAGATGTGATACTTCCGTTGAAAGTTGAACCAACAAGACCATGTTGCCTCTGGAGTCACATAATAAATCTGTTAGTGTAATGTGAATTTCCACAAGGTGGAACAGGTCTTCTTCATAATCTGCAACAGGGCCTGGGGTGTCTTTAAACCACATGGTGCAATGTAGCAAGTTCTCTGGTTGCACGTCATGTGGGGCTGCAGGAGTGGGTAATTGAAATTCCGTCTGGATTGATGTCCAAGCTGTACCAATACTGAGCCACTCCCCACTTGGGAAGTGGCAGAAGAGTGGCCGGGTTCAAAGAGTAACATCTTAGAAGGGTCACATTGTCAGGCAGCAGCAAAGAGGTTTGTAGACGTAGATGGCGTTGGGAGGAAAGGTGCTTTGGTTGGACCTGTTGCAAGATGGCAGAGATGTCAGAACAGTCAGAAAATGTCCAAGGACAAAGTCGTTGGTCTTGTCCAACAAAGCACTAGCAGCAAACACTGCTTGCAGGCAGGAAGGACTACCTCTGGCAACGGGGTCGAGCATGCAGGAAAAATAGCCAGTGGGTCTTTGTCTGGAACCCCTGAAGCGTGGCCCATCTTTTCTGAGACAAACAGCTTGAAAGGCAATTGGTAGTTGGGTAGGCCCAAAGCGGGTGCGGAGGAAATCGCCTTTTGCATGGCAGTGAAGCAGGCCAGGGCATGAGGTGAAAGTGAAAATGGTTCACTCTTCAAAGCGTCATATAGCGGCTGCATAAGCTGGGAAGCTTCAGGAAGCCACGATCTGCAATAGGTGATGAGGCCTAAAAAGGCATGGAGAGTCTGGTGAGTAGATGGGATTGGCAGATGCAAGATAGCAAGGATCCTATTCCTGGTAAGATGATGGGTGCCATGGGAGAGGCAGTGTCCCAAGAAGACCACAGAGGGCCGGCACCACTGGAGTTTGGATTTAGAGACTTTACAACCTTCTTCAGCCAGAAAGCATAGTAGGTGCTATGTTCTGTGGTATGGAGATCAGCAGCGCAGAGGAGTAGGTCATCAACATACTGGAGCAAGACCACATCTGTGTGAGCCTTTTGCCAGGGTTCCAGGACCATGGACATGGCCCTGGCAAACTGAGTAGGGGAATTCTGTGCCAGCTGAGGCATGACAGTCCATGTATACTGTTGTCAATCGTGAGTAAAAGCAAAGAGATGCTGGCAGGACGGATCCAGGGGATCGCTGAAGAATGCATTAGCAAGGTCCACCACAGTGAAAAACTTGGCTGTGGGTGGAACCTGTGACAACGGCGGTATGCGGATTGGGGACAACGGCGGTATCCTTAACAGTGACGTCATTAACAGCATGCAGATCCTGGACCATACGGTACTGGTCAGGTTGGCCCTTTTCAGTTTTCTTCTTGACAGGAAACAGAGGAGTGTTACATGGTGACACGCATTTGACAAGGGCTCCTTTGGCTAGGTGACTATCCACTTGCTTGGAGATGGCAAGGGCTTGGGCAGGTTTTAACGGATATTGGGGCTTCCATGGTGGAGCAGCACCTGGCAAAAGAGTAACCACGACTGGTGGGACCTTTAGGAGGTCAATGTCATCAGGGCCTGTGGACCAAAGTTTGGCAGGGATTCTGTCCAGAGCACTGGGGGTATCTGTGCCCCTTGATTCCCCTACTGGAGATGTGAGATGTAGCAATATGGGAAGGGAACAGAGGACAGAGGTGTCTTTCCGTGACAGGGGTGTGTTTAATTGGACCTGACCATCTGCAGTGAAAGTGATTGAGGCTTGGAGGCGGGACAGAACATCAGCACCCAAGAGGTTAATGGGACAGGTGGAGGAAACAACAAATCGTGAAAGGATGTCAGAACCCACATGGAGGAGATTAGTTAGTGGATTACTGAGGGGAGTACCATCAACACCAACGCAGGATACATTGGTGTCTGATAGGTAGGATGGGTCTGGCAGGTCTTGTTCTCTAAGAACACTGCGGGCTGCACCTGTGTCAACTAGGAAAGTAGTAGGATGACCTTCAATGGGCAGGACAACTGTAGCGAGAGGCCCTCCCCCATCCCCTGTAGACACTGTAATAAATCTAAATGAGCCTGGTCGGGGCCAGTGTAGCAATGTGAGGAGGTGGCGGGGAGACTTGCCTGGGGAGCAGGGCGGGCACTACGGCCCTGTCTAGGTATGGGGCGACCCTCCTGGAAATTATCAGTATCAAACCCGTCAGCAGAAGTTGGAGGATAAGTACGGGCATCTGGAGGTGGTGGAGGAGCTTGAGAATACTCAGGAGGCGGAAAATGTGGAACCGGGGGAGGGGGTGGTGGCTGAAAGTACCCTGGAGGGAGATATCCATAAGTAGTGGCTGAGGGATGAGAAAATTTTCCAAAATGGATGAGAGGACAGAGGATAACGAGGCGACAGGAGTGTCAGAGGATGAACAGACTGGGGCGGAAAGGGTAGCAGAGGGGAGAGGCGGAGCAGTGACATCAGGAGGCAAGGCAGGAGCTGACGGGGCGGGATCGGGGACGGGGGGAGGAAGGACTGAAGTGGGAACAACAGGAACAGGTGAGGACAATGGAAGGGCTGGGGGACAAGGGGATAGAGGAAGCGGAGAGGCATCAGAGGGGGCGACTGGGAGAAGGGGTGATGACAGGGCCTGGTCGGGGACGGTGGGAAGCTGGGAAAACGACTGGGATGTAGGGGCATGAGGGAAGGAATGTATCGGTACTGGGTAATAATAGGCTCCATCGGCTCTGAGCACGGGACACAAGGGGGTGGGGACCTGATTTACACCACCAGAGGGTGGTGTCTGAGCTTTACCAGGGGAAGCTGGGCGGGAGTTAATCAACGCGCTCTGGGCGCCATCATAGGGTGGTGGTCGGGAAGCGGTGGGGGATACATCGTCATTACAAACATTTCGGTGATACATGTAAATTGTTTGCCCCTCAAAGTCTAACTCTTCCTCTGTCCAACCCTCCTGTTTAAGACCTCTAGCGACCCGGTACCAAGCCTCTACGGCTTTCGTTAACCCGTTATCCAGCAATAAACCCTCGTTGTCAACAAGCAGTTTCCTCCAAAACTCAGGTTGCAGCCTACCACTAGGCGACATTTGGAAACCACAAATCTTAGCTAATTTCTTAATTTTCAACATAGCATCTTCTCCTGCTCTTTCTCTTACAATATCACAAGCCAAAAATCCCTTAGCGGGTCTAGTGTGTTCCTGTCCCTTCTTGACCAACAAAAGGTTCCAGGTATAAGGGACAGATAGAGAGATAAGAAGAAAGAGGAAAGTCTACACTGCTCGACTGCCACGGGGACTTGGGTCCTGTGCGTCTTCCCTAAACTTAGACTAGTCACAGGGGTCCGCCCACCCGAGATGGTGGCCATGAACCAGTGCGAGCGAGCATGGGTGACTAACACAGCTCTGGGCAGCAAACACAGGAAAAATAGAGAACAAAGGAAAAGATAAACGTGGCAACGCTAAGCAAAAGGCATTTGCAAAAATCACACACATAGAGATGAGTGTAAACCCCAGAATTCAGGATCAGCCACACAACACACACGCACACACCGAGGGTACCCACACTGTAGCAACAATTAAACAAAATCCACAGAATGACAGAGAGTAATATGGACATGTACATATTAAACAGAGTACACCAAACAGCAAATAGTAACAATCCCAGCCTTTCTCTCTAGGCTGTAACCCTGTAATTCAACCTTTTACCAGGTCTACAGTAAAAACCCCACCTTCCACTAGGTGGTACCCAGCCCTGCGTCGGCTGTAACCCAGCCCCTTATCGGCTGTACTCAATAACCCAACCCTGTTATCCGGGTTGTACCCAGCCCCTTATCGGCTGTACTCTCTAACCCAACCCTGTTACCCGGGTTGTACCCAGCCCCTTATCAGCTGTACTCAATAACACATTCATACAAGCACACATTCATACAAGCACACAGGAGGCAGATAGACAATCGACAGGTTCATTAAAAGAGGCACCGGATAAGGGATTACCTGTCTTCTTGTAGCCTTCTGGAAGCCGGAAGTTGACGCGGAGGCAGAATGACACAAAACAGGAGAATACAGGCAACGGCTGTATTGTGGAGGTGATCAGGCTCCGGTTGTCCCACTTTCCGGAGGTCCGCTCCGGTCCGTTGGTTTCCGGCCCTACGAACCGGCAAATCCGGTGCCCCACGTTGGGCGCCAATTGAAGTGGAAATCAATCAATAAATTGATCCTTTGTGTATCCGCCCCTGGCCAAATTAGATAAACTGTGCGTGCAGGCACCCTGAAGTAATTCACACCAGACACAAGTTTCAGGTTGATGAAAAACTTGAGGAATGTTTATTCATGGGGGACGGCAAGTCCCTTTTAAAGCAAAATTACATCATGTGCATTGTCAGAGATAACATGAAATAATACATCATTAATTGGTTAGGTGTTAAGTGGTTCTCTTAATGTTCTGCCTACAAGGGGTGATGTCACTGGCATCACGAGGGTCTCCCCCAGATTCCAGCGCCATCTTGTTACACGAGGTAGTTAGTCAGTGTTAAGGGGGAAGAAGAAGGCTCCTAGCGGCCATTTTAATTAATCACATATAAGTAGAATAATGCTGATTATAGTTAGATGAGTAAATAGACATTTTACTAGCTAAAAATTAGGTAAATATCTTATTTCCACAACAGCGAGCATTCCCTCTAATGGCCATTGGAGTAACTAAATGACCTCCATTTGTCTAAATATTCATAGGGATTAAGAAGAGTGCAGGGACCTTTTTTTTTCTTTGGCTTTTACTATATATTGGGGCTGATGTGTACTATGGTCGTTGCTGCCGTCCAGGAGTGATGGGAGTGAGCGCAGGACTTATTTTTTTGCATTGAATTTTAATGTCATGACCACTGTTTTATTTCACTCGGCGGTTACTGGCAAATACCTACTGGCACATGATACATGCTCATTATAGTCTGGCAGCCTGGCTATCCTCAGATACTGCATTCCACTGAGAAATAATTCAATGGGAAAGCTTAGGCCTGGAAAGCTCTAGGAACTCACACCAGCAGCCAATGCACATACCCAGCCAATTCCATGCTTGTAAAGGTCCTGCATACTTCATGCCTTCTGCCTTACTCAAGCAGAATATTTTAAACAGTAGACTTGTGTATTGCAAAGAAAATTTAGTTCATCCAAGATGCATCTGACAATAAAAAATGTGTTTTGAGCAATTCAGGTTTCATCCATGTGGCATTTACATTTGGAAAAATTTTGTCCATACAATCATGTTTCAAAAAAAATATTTAGAGAGTACAAAATTGCACAGAATTGTGGCTATTGGTGTATTGCAAAATATATACAAAATGTAAACATTATTTATATACTGTTTTATGAAGAACACTGATATGAGAATTTGGTTTACCATTTGGTTTAGATAAAGTGAGTAGAAGTAACGAATAAAAAGAAAAGAGGGACAGTAAAGAATCTATTTATATATTTATTATTTATAGAATACATAAATAAAGATATTTTTCCTCCTTTTTTCTACTCTATTAGTAACTTCTCACTTTATCTGCAAGTAAAATCAACATTTAGTGGTTGTTCCATAAACCATCAGTCATCTTTATTTTGGCACTATGAATGAAAGTCTAAATCATGAAGCAAACAAAAATGGCTTATTCATAGCTTGTTTCATATGTTTTGTGATTCAGTGGAGAAAAAAAAGGTCCAGGCACTCCAAAGCTCAATAAGGCAAACTTATTTGGAATAAAGTGAATCCAGCAACGTTTGGACCCTACATTGGGTCTTTGTCTAGCAAACACCCAGACTTAAAAAATCCAATGTGTTTGCAGTATAGCTATAATGTGATATTCACAATAAACAATTAATAAAATAAGGCAATTATTCATCATCCGTGTCATCATGTGTGCCAGAAAATCTCCACCAAAACAATGGCTGCCAAATGAAAAAGGCAGCTAGACACACACACAAAAAATAAATAAATAAATTAAAATATATATATATATATATATATATATATATATATATATATATTTTAAATGCTCAAGCAAATTATGACCAGAATGAGATGCCCCCAATGCTAAAAAGAAAAAAGATCTTGCAAACACATTGTGTCCGTAGCAGCTCAGGCGTGTGACGCAATCACATATGCACATCACACGAAGCACATGACGAAATCACTCATGTGCATCACACCAGGAATGTGACACAGCGCACATGCAAGGGGTAACTGACAACTAAGAAATATCACAGGCGTGCATAGATTCTGTGTACACCTGCGAAAATACCAAAACAAAATTGGCCAATCAATTGCCATAAATGTGAATACAATAGACATGAACTCCTAGTAATAAAATACATAACCTGGTGTAAACAAAAGACAGTGTAATACATGAAATCCATGATCAAGTAATAGATATAAATAATGTAAAAATAATATAATATATATAAATACAATAATAAAATATGAATGAATATATAACATATACTATCCACAATATAACTATATAATAATTATAAATTAAAAATATATCTAATAAAAAATGTCATAGATACAGTACCATGCAACAGTGCTATTATATGAATTAATCAATTTAATAAAAGAGTGCATAAAATTCATAGAAAATCATAAAGTGTCAAATTAATGGCAGTGTAATTGATATTGTCAGTGTAATTAAAGTTAAAGTAACATTGCATATGTAAACAGTGAATAAACCTTAAAAGTGTATAGAATTAATAACTTCTAAAGAATTGTGCTAAAGTAAATTATTAGACAAATGAAAATTACCATATCGTGAAACTAATTTAATTCTATTATTCGTATCTCTTTTTTTCTTTTTGGGAAAAACAGTTCTTGTCTATTTAGGTTCTCCACTTGTACCAGTTGGTCCTTTAAAACTGTCATGGGATAACCTTATTCTTTAAACCTTTTGGTCATTTTAATTAATTGCCTTTCTCTCTGTCTGAGAGACTAACCTCTTAACTCTCGTATATTGGTTCCTGGAAAGAGCTCTAAGAACAGAAAGGGATGAAATCTAGTGAAATGTAGAACTGTGTTCCTGCCTAGTGGCTTCCTGTATACACTAGTCTCTAATTTGTTATTCAATTTGTAAATTGAAATGTCTAAAAAGGCAATGTTTCCAAGTCAACTGTCCTTGTAAAATTAACAGTTTCAAAACACCAATTTAAAAATATAAACATGAATTCAAGGATTCCAATGAGCCATTCCACAACACCAACATGTCATCTATTTGACGTGCTGGTGATGTGGCAAAATTTGTAAATAATTAATTGTTGTATATGATTTTTTTTCTTCTAGCTCTGACGAAAAAAAGGCTGGCGTATTTGAGGCTACATTCAAACCCATCAAAGCTCCCTTCAGTTGTAGATATAAATACTCTCAAAACAAAAAATAGTTCTTTCATGACCATAGACCGCAAATGCCTAAAAAAAAAATAAAGTGCTTTGTCTCTATAGCCCAAATATTTAACTGCTTCCTCAGCAGCCAATAAGTCTACATGATGGGTAATAGAGGTATAAAGATTATTGACATCAAAAGTGACAAGTTTGGGGGGCGTGGCCAACAGCCGACCAAGATGGGCACATAACTTTTGGCTCCAGCACTTGAGCTCCAAACCAATAAATTTTCTAGCATTGAAAGCACTACCAGTTTGGCTCCCAACAATATTGGCACAGCATAAACCTAAAAAAGGCTTGAGAAAGGCCAAAATAGTGAATTTCTTCACCCAAAAAGCATCTCCTGCGCTTATTGCATCCCGAATAGAGGTGGCGACAAAGATTCAGGTGCGCACGGCTTGCAGCCAGAGATGGAAACTGTTGTTGACAAAAATCTTAACCCAATCCATGTTAGTAAAATGCCTATTTACTCAGTATAACTACAATCAGCATTATTCAACCTTACATGTGATTTACCTAAAATGTCCGCTAGGGCGTTTCCCCTTGACATTGACTAACACCCTCATTAACAAGATGGCGCTGGAATCTGGGGAAGACCTCCAAGATACCAG